AAATAAAGGGGAAGGGGAAAAATTAAGGAGAAAAGAAAATAAGAGGACTAGAGGAGAGAGAAAGTTTACCTTTGGGTGCACTTCACCTTAGGCTTATGATGGGTATTTATACCCCTTCTCAACATCCTTCCTACTTAAAATTCCTTTACTACCCTTAATGATCTTTTTCCTAATCAAACTTGTAATTTGACTTTCCATAAATACGTTGACTTTAAAAATTATCTTTTTATAAAATAATATGCCCTAATATTTCCAAATCATGAAATAAAATATTTTCAAGATTAATAAATAATTAAAATATACTTTTAGTTAAAATCATTCTTTTTAAATTAATGAAAAACCCTAAATAATTCATTTCGAATTATTTAAATATTTTAAGAAATACTTATTTAAAATAAAAATACATATAAAAATACGGGATATTACATTTATACCTATTTAACAATATATATCATGAAATTTTTTGTTATTAATACGTTACTAAAAAACAATAGTAAAAGTTAACATATATGAATAAGGAAAATTGTCAAAAATAATATAACCGTTGTCCTATTCTTTTTTTAATAATACAATTTGATTATTTTTGAATATTACAACCTTAAGGGGGTGTTAATTTTAAACAAGACATTACCAGTTGGTAACCTGTTTTTACAAGTTATCATGACACATGTCATTGTTTTATTGGTTTTGTTAATTTAATTAAGTAAATTTTGACTTTTACTACCTCTATAAAACGACTTATTTGCTTTTACCACCTACATAATTAAATTTTTATTTTACCACCTCATAAAAAATATAAAGTTGGCTTTTCCCACAAAAACCAACTCCGGTGACGGAATAGTAATGTGGGGCCCACTTTTTTCTATTTCCCTCCAAATTTTATGCTCCCAAACACGATCTTCCTCTCTCTATTCATTACCCTCACCTTCCCTATTCAATTCCTTTCACTTTCTCACCTTCCTCCCATTAATTTTTCTAATTCTCATCTCTCTCCTTACATTTTTCATCTCTCTGTAAAAATTAAACCCTAAATTTCTCACCTTAATTTCTCCCTATTCCAAGAAGTAAGCCTTGCCATTGGAACTCCACGTTGACATCTTTTCTCTTTTGAAGGTGATATACTTATGGAAGACATTTTCTTCTACAATTCACAACCAACAACATCAATACTTGTTCTAATTGAACACAATTATCATTCCCTAAGCCAAATTTTATTAACCAATTACAATTTCAAAAAATCCCAAATTAATTTTTACTAACATGAACCCTAATTTTTAAACTTTGAATTTGAGGCTCAATTCATAAGTGATATTAACAATTTAAATGATACAGAAAACAATTGGAAGATAATTACGACATCAATTGCGAAAAATACACCTAATAATTCATGATTTTTGCGAATTAAGTGTAATATGCATACCTTCTTTCAATTTCTCTAACAGTCGACTTTTTAAAACGAACACAAATCTGGAAATTTAAATGCTAGGATTGTTAGGATAGAGCAAATTTGAGGATTTGGGGAGAAATTCCCCAAATTCAAGCTCAATAATTCAATGTTCTTTTTTGAGAAAAGAAGATGATAGGTTTAAATAAAGAGGGAAAATCTTGATAGATTGGGGGAAAATTCAAAAAGTAGCCATTATGTTGGGCCCCACATTACTTTTCCGTCACCGGAGTTGGGTTTTGGTGGGAAAAACCAACATTATTTTATTTCTGAGGTGGTAAAATAAAACTTTAAATTATGTAGGTGGTAAAAGAAAATAAGTCGTTTTATGGAGGTGGTAAAAGTCAAAATTTCCTTTAATTAATTATTAAAAAAATTTAAACAAAAATCCAACCACCCAGCCACCTCCTTTCCCCTCCCCTAAACGTACGCCGCACCCTCGACGGCGATGGTACGGCCGACGACCAACTTTCCCACCGTCGGTCGACCCACTTTCCCCCTAATTCCAACCTCCCCCTTCCCCCGTCGCGACATCTAGCCTAGCCAAACCCTAACCCCTACCACAAAAAAAACCACTCTAATCCACACAACCACCACGAAGCCCACTGAAAACACCACGAAACTCACCCCTTCCCTTTCTCAGACCCCGATAACCACCTCCCTCACCTTTCGAAAAGCGCCCCCCACCCCTTCCCCTGCATAAAAAAGTGTCCCCAACGAACCCTGCGTCGGGCCGTGTTGTTCGTGTTTTGGTTCGGAGAAGGGAAGTTCGGTCGTGAAGGGCTGGTCGGCCGGCCCAGGGGGTTGGGGAGAGTTTGCTCGCCGGGGAAAGGCAGGCTGACGTGGTGGTTGTTGGGGGTTACAAGGGGGTTGCCTTTATTTTAATCTAAAATTAATCACTAAAAAAACAAATTTAATATTTAGATCAGACCAATTGCCTGACGACACGTGTCATGTGTAACCAGTTTAAAAGATTTCAGGTTTTTATTGTCTTGTTTAAAATTAACACCCTCTAATGGTTGTAATATTCAAAAATTCTCAAAATATTGTATTTTTAAAAAAGAATGACCAAAGGTTCTATTATTTTTGGCAATTTTTCCTATGAAAATGAAAAAAGTCAAACGTGTCAATTATTTAGGATTCAAGGGAGTAATTGTTTTAGTTTATATGCCTCGGATTATTATTGCATTGGCGATTGTTTGTTTTATATAATTTTGGATATATATATATATATTATTTTAATATTTCTAGGGTAGGAAAATAATCTATCTACAAAAAAAACATGCTAATATCATTAAGCTAAGTGACACATGTTAACTTCTTATTGAAAAATTTCCTACCTAAACTATTTTGACAACATTTTTTTACTCTATTTTTTTCCTCCCAAGTTCCAAGACAAAATAAATGCAGTACTTCTTTCAAAATTAATTAATGAGATTATGATTACACTTTTTTCGAATAAAGAATTAAACTATTTTTTTAGCAATGTCAAATTTTAAACCGAAATCGTTTAACTTCTCGAAAGTCGAAACTGACCGACCAAAATGAGAACCGAACAAATTAAAAATCGATTATTTGAAACCAAAAATTGACTCAAATCAATCATATTTTAGTAAACTCGAAACTAAACTGATCAGAATAATGTCAAACTAATTGTATAAGAACCGAACCCGTTAACGAACAAAACCAGTTCTAACTACATTGAAATAGAACCGAATCGAAAAAGAACCAAACCATTGTTAACCCGAAATCGTTTGAACCGGGTTAAAAACCGTTTACACCAAACCTTTAACAAACCGCAATCCGTCTGCAGTAAATTGTTCACAAGTTGGATTGTTTATAAACCGAGTTGCATATAAACCGAAGCCGAACTGGTTCTAAACTGAACCGTACCCAACGGTTTTATATAAATTGGTAGCCTTAGTTGAATTAATTTTGTCATCTTAATCTAAACATATGAAATATAAAGGGGAGATTAAAATCACGTTATAGGAATTTTAAATAAAATCTAATTTTGCACACATGTTTACTACAAAGTACATTATTATTACTAGAGTATTGGTTAAGTTAGTAGTTAGTTCATTATTTTACGCATAACTGATTTTAGAATTTGTTCCTACATTAGATCATTACTTCATAAGAGTTGGTGTATGAGGTCAAATTTCAACCGAAATCGTTTAACCGCCCGAAATCAGTTGTTCCAATTGAGAACTAAACTGATGAGAAACGATTTTTTGAAATCAAAAATCGACCCGAATCGTATATTAGTTAACCCGGACCCAAAACGATCCGAATAATATCAAACTATATAGACCTGAACCAGTTCTAAACCGAACTGTTATAAAACCTAACTGAAAAACAATCGAACCATTGTTAACCCGAAACCGTTTACAAACCGCAACCCGTTTGTTCTGAATCGTTTATTACCTGAATGGAATTAAAATTGCTAAAAAACTGAAATCGAAGTGAACTAATAATGTTTTGAACTGAACCGAAACTAACCTGTAGGTCACTCAACCTGATTTCAAGCTGAACCGAAACCAAACTATCAAACCGTTTTGATCGTGCTAACTAATTAAATAAATAATAATTATTTAATTTATATAACGCACGGGACTAAACTAGTTTACAAAATACAATGAATAATATACATATATACTCTAAGAATCTAAGGTACACTAAGTAAAGGAAAAGCAAAAGGATACGGAGTAAGAGCAAAGAGAAAGGAAAGAACCTAAAATATATTAAAGGAAAAAGAGAAAGAAAAGGATAAAAACGAAAAGGGAACAAAGGATAAACTACCAAAGCGAATATGGATAACAATGAGGCAAGGAAAGGATCAAGTATGCTTGCTTGCATTGGGGGCCATTCGTACCATGTGAAACAAGATTGGTTTGAAAAAATGGCACATTTTGAATACAAATTCTTAAATGGACCTGGTTCAAACAAATTTATTGCGGACCACTAACATTAGAGATAGTATGATTGTTTTATTAATAAAAAAAAAGGTCATTACATTAAAATAAAGGTTTTTATGTTGAAATAAAAGCGATTGTGACATTATAAAAGATATAACAGATTTGTAAACAGAAATAACATTATAGGTCACAAGTTTTAATAAAGGTTACTATGTTAAAAAATAAGGATATTATGTTAAAATTACGGTCACTATGTTCCAAATAACGTTAGTTATGTGTGTATATAAATCTCAGGTCCACGCAAGAATTTCTGCATTTTGAAGTTTTTACAAGAAAAATTAGCTCTAATTAATACTCCGTATTAAATACACACCTTTTTTTTAATTTTTTTTTTAAACTATCCAACACATCACTCTGATCAACAATCTTAGTAAAGTAAAGCATAAAGTTGAGAACTAAAAATCTGTACAATTAACTATCAATGAGTAAATTTCATAGAGAAGGTAATTAAAAAGATACAGTAATAATCAAAACTTTCCTCTTCTTCATCAACCTAAAAAAGTAGGTACTTAATTAAGATTTTTTGTTGTTATTTTTCAGCAATAACAGCAAATAATTCACATGTGAATCCATATTAAGGGTAAAATCGTGGGACAATAAGGTGGAGACATGTGCGTGTCCATTGTAATGAGTTCAAAAAAGAAAAATGGTACTTTCTCCGTGTTTTAATAATTATTTTACTTTAATTAACATACAATTTTAGGCATTTTAATTAACTTAAATAAAATATAAGAGGTATGTGGGGTAGTTGAAGTATTAAAATTAGGTTAATAATTTGTTGTAAAGTAATGAATGTGAGAGGAAATAAATAATAAAAAAGATGAGTAGTGAATTTGGGTAGGAACCATGAATGGAAAAAAATAATATAATAAAATGTAATTTTTTGTCAAAGTAGGGAGTATGTGTAACACTCGTTAAATCACGATCGTATTTGATAAATGTAAACTTATTAAAACACGGAGGGAATAATGATGATTTTTTATTTTTTATTTTATTTTTTTTATCCTCCATTAATGGTGTAAAAAGGCCATGAGAATGAGTGAGAAAGTGGGTAGAGAGAGAATGTAAAACTATTTTTTGATCATTGGTGAGAATGCTCTTATTACCTCCAGTTTTTTTCTTGTTTTTTTGTACCTTAATATCATACTTACACTTTTTTTTTATTTTTTTTATTTTTTTACTAAAGACAATTAAATTAGTTATGTCGGTCAAAGTGTAATTTATAAAAGAAATAGAGGGAGTTTAAATACGAGGATTCCCAAGTTAATATTTGTGAAGGAAATGGCTCAAGTGGTAAGCAACTTGATGTCGCTTAAGAGAGGTCTCGGGTTTTCATTAGCCTCACCGTAAGCATAAACTCTTGTTGGGAGACTCACCCACCATAAGCCAGGTGTGCGACTTGGATCGGATCCGGCTGGAGTCGGAGCTAAGCTCTGGTGAACCGGGTGGGCATCCTAAAAAAAGATAGAAAATTCCGTATTTGTTTACTACATGACATCTTGGTAAATAAATATACAAATTTATCCAATCATCACTACGAGTGTGGGATCCATTTTTTAAGAAATACTTATTGATTGGAAAATTTGTGAGAAAGGTCCTTTGAAGTGGTCGACTTTGTGAGAAAGGTCTTTATATAAAAAAAAGTGGCAAAAAAGGTCCTTATTTCCCATTTAGGTTGTAAGGAAGGACCTTTGACCAATTTCCGGTAATTGACTTCATTTTCCGACTAGTAACTATCACGTGATTTTAAAAAATAACTTTTTATTTTGTCTTTTTCTTCCTTTTCCCTCCAATTCCAACTTACCCCTGATTCTTTCCCCCTTATTTCTCCTTCAACTCTCTAATTTATTAATGTGAATAAGTTACTTCGTGAAAACTAGGGCTCGCAAATTAGAGAGAGAAAGGAGAAATAGGGGGGAAGAATTAGGGTTAGTTGGAATTGGAGAGAAAAAAGGAAAAAGGGAGAAAAAAAACAAAATAAGGCCGGAAAATAAAGTCAATCATCGAAATATCGGTCAAAAGTCCCTCCTTACAACTGAAATGGTATATAAAGACCTTTTTTGCCACTTTTTATAAATAAGGATATTTCTCACAAATTCGAGCAGTTAAAAGGACATTTCTCACAAATTTTCTTTAATGATTTATTTACGACAATGTCGTGTGATTATTTATTTGAAAGATAAACTTGTATTTTCAATATGAATATTTAGAGCTCAACGGCTGACCAATTCAAACATAAAATTACCTTCTAGAAAAAGCTAGTGAGCTACGAATGAAGTTAAGAATCAAAGAGTTAACCTTTTTTTTTTTTTTTTTTTTTTTAATAATCAAAGAGTTAACTTGATTCCTCAAGAAAAAAAAAAGTTAAATATCAAAGAAGCGAGAGTTGGAAAACATAATCTTATATTTTTCCATAAAAAAGGCAAAAAAGTAGGAAAAGAATGGAAGAAGCAATGAAGCTAAGGCATGATGTTTGGGAAATCAGAAAGAAATTAAAAAATGATGAAAAAACTTTGTCACGTGAGAGTGGGAATGATATGTTGCATAGTTTAGAAATTATTGAAGGCAAACTTGAAGTTGCGGAGTCCGAACTTCAAGTACCAGGCGCAGTTCTAGAGGAAAGTCTCAAAGATGTGCTCTCTAAATTGAAATCCTTCATCGAAGGTAATTAATCATCTATCTTATCTACTCTTCATTTTAGTACGTATCGTTTAATGACAGTGGTGAATCTAGATTTTTTAAAATAGCATGGTCTGGGTAGCACCAAACTACCGATCACTAAATTGTTACGTCTAAATAAAAGATTCGTTTAATCAATTTCAAGCTTGTTCATCAGATTACAAAAATATATATAAAAAATACCTTCAAATCCAATGTATGACCATATATCCTATAAACACAAGCAACCTATACTAAGAAAGGCGGTAACCAAAAAAAAAAAAATCACGCTTGTCAGGATTATTTATTCTGTGTTTTTATTGGAATACTCCCTTTATCCCTTTAAAGAGAAATGTTTGTAGCATACTTGACCATTATAGAAATATAATACGAAGTAGTTTGAAAACTTGGATGTTAAGATAAATCAACAAATTACGTATTAATAATTATTTTTGTATATTAGAAACAAAATGATCAAAGTGAAGATTTTGAATATTATTATTATTGAAATTGTTTTAATTTTATTGATTTGAACTTAATTTTATCAATTTTCTATTGTATCTGTCAATAACAATTATTGACTTTTTTTAAAAAATTAATTTTAATGTGCAAAAAACATGCCTAATGTGAGTAATGTTGGATTTAGGGGTGTAATTAATATCCCATGCCTCTTCCCACTATAAAAAAAAAAATTAAATAAAAATTCCCTTCATCATAATTAGAACCTTAAAGATTGTTTCATTTGATTTTCAAGATGTAATTTATTTAAACATCATATATCTCTAAATCTAGACATATAAAAATTAAAAAAAAGTATGAATTAAAATGAATCCAATAACATCCTTTCGTTTAAGAACTTTGACGACCATGTAAAAAAAATTTACAACAAAATTACTCCCTTGATTTTTATAAGTGCGCCAAAGGAATGAGCACAAAAGTGTAGGAACTCTTGTATTTTAGCATTAAAAAAAAAATGGAATGTCCTTTGCTAATACAAAAATATTATTTCGTATAAAGTAGAAGTGATGGTTTTTTTATTTAAAAATAAATAAATTATATATCCCCTTTAAGTATCAGCTAGAGCACTTGCTATATCAATAATTCTTGGTTTTTTGTTTTTTCTTATGAAAAATTTTGAGAGAACTTTTATAATAGTGTACGAACGTTTATACATTTAAAATATTTACTTATATATGTGCCTCTATTAAAAAATTTGAGAAATTCTTTTCTTTTGTCTAGTGGCGGAACTAGGGGAGGGGGGGGGGGGGGAGGGGGGGTGGGGCTTGGGGGCCATCACTACTAGAAAACAGTCAATCAACGACGGAAAAAATCCGTCGGAAAGGATTGTCGGAAGACCTTTTGTGGGTATTTTGCGATATTCCGTCGAAATAGACCTTTCCGACGGATTTTGTTCTGTCGGCGCTTTTATCGACTTTGAGTGAAAATCCGTCGCAAGGTTCCGACGGAATTTTCCGTCGGAGTGGGATATGTTCCGACGGAAATTCCGTCGGTGGGGGAGATGTTCCGACGGAATTTTCCGTCAGAGGCGGGATATTCCGATGGAAAATTCCGTCGGAAAAAAAAAAAAAGCCCCACCCCACCCCCACCACCAGCCCACCCCCTGCCCCCTACCCTTAACCTCAGACCACCACCCACAATACCCCCACAACCCAGATCCCGACCCACAAAACCAAAGCCCACCCCCCTACCCTCAACCTCAAACTACCACCCACAAAAACCCCCACAACCCAGATCCCGACCCACGAAACCCCCCTAACCCACAACTACCCACAACCCACCACTACTACAACCAAATTCGGACAACCACCACCTCCACCCAGAATAAAAAAAAACGAAAATTCAAAAACAAAAAAAAAAAAAAAAAAACGAAAAAACAGATCTAGTACGCAAATTGAATAATACAAAATTGAATATGCAAAATCAAAATCCAAAAAAAAAAAAACAAAAAAACAGATCTAATACGAGAACAGAAAAAATGAATATACAAATTAAAAAAAAAAACAGATCTAATAAGCAAGTTCAATAATACAAAATCAAAATCCAAAAAAATAAAAAAAAACATGAAAAAAAACAAATTATACAAATCTAAATCAAAATTAGAAAAAAAAAACAAAAAAGTCAAAAATTTTTTGTCCAAATGCCGGTTACTCAGTTGTGGGTCTCGATTTCTCAACCAATCCCGTGAAGCTCTGCCCGCATGTCGGTGGAGAACACTTCTTGGTGGTTGTGTTGATGTCGGTGGAGATAGTTTCGCCAGTGATGATTGATAATTATGCGAATTTTGACGAAAATCCGAACACCCATAGCAAGTTTTTACGGAAATTGAGAAAAAAAAAACCAAGATTAATTTGAGATTGAAAATGAAGAGGAAATAGAAGAAGGAGAAAGGAAAAAATAGAAGGAGAAAGGAAAGAGAAGAAGGAGAAAGGTCATGGAGAAAGGAAAGACAAACAAAAAAAGAAGAAGGAGAAGAGAGGAGAGGAAGGAGATGAGAGGCGGAGAGGAGAGAGAAATGAGAAATCCGGGATATCTAGGTTTTTTTTTTTTTTTTTTTAAAAAAAATATTCAAAAATCCGTCGGAAGGGCATTAAATTCCGTCGGAAATTTCCGACAGAATTCTCGAAATTAATAATTTCCGACGGATTTTTTTCCCTCGCTATGTACAGCTTTCGATGGAATTTTCCGTCGGAAGAAATTTTCCGAGGGAATATTCCGTCGGAATCTGTAAATCCGAGGGGAAAAAATTCCGTCGGAATATTTCCGAGGGATTTTCCGTCGTAACGTACTTTTTCCGACGGAATTTTCTGACAGACCCTAATTATGTCGAAAAAGTTCTAAAATTTCAACGGAATTTTGGTCGGTCGGAACAATTCTGTCGGAAAATGACCTATTTCTAGTAGTGCATGGCCACCCCCTTGGTTTTGATTATATATTAAATGAAGCAAAGATTTATGTTGAATGCATCATAGTTGAGTTGGTAGTAGAGTAAAGCAATATATTTGGAGGTCACAAGATCGAGACTTGCTCCTCAAATTTTAAATTTTTTTTTGTACAAGTACTTTGTAGAGATTTTTTTTATGAGTATTTCATATACTCCATCCATTTCGTGATAATCGCAACACTTTCTTTTTTACATCCGTTTCATAATAATTGAAATACTTCCTTATTTGATAAGGACCCACTACTATCTTATTATTTCTCTGTCCTGCCAACTCTACCTACACTACTTTTTAACTTATCTTTTTTTATTATCATTTTTCTCTTATACTAACACTTACATATATCTAACTATATTTTATAGGAAAAATGTAAACTAATAATCCCACCTTTAGTCGGTCTTCCATAAACAATCCCACCTTTTGAAATTCCAGAAATAATCCCACCTTTAACATGGATCTTCCATAAACGATCCCTATGACCTATAACCGGTTAAACCGGTCAAACTTTTTTTATTTTTTTTAAATTCATCTTCTTCCACCTTCCTTGAGTTCCTTCTATGAATTGCCACCAAAATTACCACCGGTCCACCACCTCCTCAACTCCTCACTTGTCATCGGCCACCACTCACCCAGCCATCACCAATCGCAACCCTCACACAACACCACCAACCATAAACACCTTTCCACTCCTCCACCAGCAAGCCCCCTAACACCCACGCAACCTCTAGCAGCACCTAAAGGCTAAAGGCCGAAAACCCCACACCCACCATCCACGACTTCTTCCGCCGCGATTCAACAAACCCACCCTCCAAACAAAAATCCCACACATTATCGATCCTCAAACGCAGCGTCGCACAACGCGCCACCACTGCAGCGCCTACTTGCAGGCCGCTGATCCTCCATATCTAACAACTACAACATCAATTCACACCCACAAATCAGCCCTAAAATAGGTAAAATAATGCCCAAAATTAAATTAAGAAGGAATAATTGGGGTCGATTATGGGCTTTGGAGCTTGCAAACTCCGTCTCAAGCCCCCATAAAACCAGACCCATCCCTGAAAAATCAACCCCCAACCATGACAAACTCCATCCCGATCCCAAAATCCCCACCTAGCCCTGAAAACTCCCCCCGAAAACGCCCTAACCACCCTAAAAAAACCCCTTTGTCAAGCTTCCGATTGGCTGATTGATTTGTTGGGGAAGGCAGGGGCAGGATGAGGAAGGGAAAGGGGGTCGTTAGGTGGCTGGTTTTTTTTTTTTTTTTTTTAATTTTTAAAAAATAGAATAAACCAATCAATAGTCAACACGTGTCTTGTAACCTAATAAAACCGGTTAGCAAAACAATCCAAGCGGTCAAGGTTTGTTAGTGGAAGATCCCTATCAAAGGTGGGATTGTTTCCGAAATTTCAAAAGGTGGGATTGTTTGTGGAAGACCGATTAAAGGTGGGATTATTAGTTTACAATTTTCCTATTTTATATTATAAAATTCATCTTTTGGTCACTACCCTATAATTTTTCTAAAAGCTTGTACAACACCTAGTTTTGCGATTATTATGAAATGGAGGGAATAATAAGTTATAGCACAACCCTAGGCATTAAATTCCCTTTTCCATACATTTTCATTAATTTTTTTAATAAAACTTGGTCTCACTATTTTTCCACATCATTTGAATATTATATCTGTCCATGAGATATTAAGACATTTAGTTGGCCCCCCCTAATAAAAAATCTTGGCTCTGCCCTGCTTTTATCTTACTCCGTATTACATTAAATAAAGAAAAATTTGTCAAAAATAATATAACAATTTGCCAAACATTCTAAAATAAAACAAGCTTTTGGTACAACCTTTAATATGCATCTGCTCAAAATTAGAGGTGATCAATACCGGCCCGACCCGAAAATAGGGCGGGTTTGGGCAAGCATAAAAACGCATTTTTAGTTAAAAGCCCGAACTCGGCCCGAAAAAGCCCGACAAGCCCGCTACTTTTTTGCGGGTTTGAGCATGACATATCATGTTAAGGCCTGACCCGACCCAATTTTTTG